GAAAATATATAATTGCTTATATATTTAATGAGAAATATATAACTAAAAGATTTATAAAATAAAAAGTGGCTAAAGAGATGTTTCCATGGTTAAGAGCACTGAGTGCTCTTGCAGGAGACCCAAACTCAATTCCCAACACCAAATTGGCAGCTAACAACTGTAACTCCAATTCCAGGGGATCTAACTCCCTCTTCTGATCGCTGCAAACATTAATGACACAGTGCACTTACATATATGCAGGCAATACATTTATACACATAAAAATAATAATAACAACAAAATATTAAAAAATTATTGCATACAATTATTTAATCACTGTGTCAAACAGAAAATATAGACTATATTGTAAGACTGAGTTTTTCCTATATGTACAGTTCATAGATATATTTGTAATTGAAATTAATTTCTTTGGTTTATGTATTAAGAGTCTCCAGAGAGGTAGATAATTTATTATCAATATTACCTCATGTGTGCTGGATAACTTTAATGTCAACTTGATACACCTGGGTTGAGGGAGCCTCAGTCGGGGAGTTGCCTTCATTAGACTGACCTGTGGCCATGTCCATGGGGCACCTTCTTGATTGTTGAGTGATGTGGGAGGGCCCAGCCCACTGTGAGTGGTGCCACCCCTGGGCAGGGGTGTTGCATAAGAAAGCAAGCTGAGCAGGGGCCAGGGAAGCAAGCCAGTAAGCAGCATTCCTCCATGGCCTGTGCTCCAGCTCCTGCCTCCAGGTTCCTGCCTTGAGTTCCTATCTGGGGCTCTTGGATGAACTGTGACCCAGGATATGTAAGCTAAATAAACCCTTTCCTCCCCAAGTTGGTATTAATCAAAGTGTTTTGTCGCAGCAATGGAGAGACAAACTAAGACACTCATGTGACTGTAGAAATTGAGAAGGCCCTTTACAAGCCAGGAAAGCAGCATGGTTCAACCCAATTTGTGAAGTCTTAGAAACAGGTAGCATTTGGTCCAAAGTTGAAGGCCCAAGAATTTTGGGGTCTGTTAGTGGATATTCCTGAGGACAGAAGATAAAGGGTTTCCAAACTCTAGGAAGGAGAGTGAATTTTCCTTTCCTCTGTACGGCTTTTGTACACTGTCATCAAAGTACCTAAGAAAACAATGAAAGGAAGAAGGATTTATTTCACCTTTCACTTTCAGTGAGTTCATCCCCTGGTTGTTCAACTCCATGTCCTTGGGAAGAACCTCAAGGTGGCAGAAGCCTGTGGTAGAAGACTGCTTCTCTTCATTTCTTGGCAGATGGTCAACAAAGAGACCGGGACTACAAAAGATGCAAGGGCACAATATAGCCCCAAGTACATGGTACCAGAAACCTACTTCCTCCTACTCGGCCTCATCTGCCACCCTTCTCCACATTCCAATAATGCAATCATATTATATTAAGAATTCATAGAATTTTCGGCTGTTTAAAGTCCTTGTGATCTTGTCTCCAGAAATGCCATGAGAGGTACAAGTATGGAGGTACTTTGCAGCCCTAGCATTTCTTAGTTCAATCAAGTTAAAAATCAAAATTAACCATCAGGAAGCAGGGGAGATGACTCAGTGGTTAAAGTGCTTGCTGCACATGCATGTGCACCAGAGCCTGGATAGCCTAGCACCCGTATGAAAATCTGGATAGGGTAGTAGGGCCTTCCCGTAACCCCACTGTAGGAGATCAGAGACAGACAGGTTCCAGGAGCTTGCTGGCTAGCCAGTTTACAACAAAGGCAACTTTCAGATTCAGTGAGAGACCCTGTCTCAAAAAGAAACAAAGGTAAGTCTGTACAATTTTAATAGTGGATAGTCTAGTAACAGTATGGTATGTCTTCTCAATAATCAAGAATTAATTATTCTTTTGAATAATTTAAATTTAAAGGCAAATCCCAATGAGGAGCATTTAATACTCTCAAAAATAAAAATAATAAGAGACAATTTCCATTTGATTCTTTCACATTAGTTCCAGAAAAAGTCACGTGTAATTAAAATATTATAAAGTAATGATTTCAATGTCTATAATAGTTTGAATTTAAAATTTTCCCAAAGGCACTTATAATAAATTTTTCATACATACTATGATAAGATGATCGGAAGAAGCATTAAAAAAAAAAACCCTCTGAGTTTTTCTTCTTAGGTAACCTGGCCATCCTTGCTTCCTAATGATAACAGGAGGAGATTTGCTCACTTATTTTTCTCTCTTTCTCAGGTAAACCTCTGAACATTCCTTGCAAAGCTTTCTTTGGATTCAGCGGAGAGTCTGGACCAATGATGTACTGGATGAAAGGCGAGAAGTTTATTGAAGAACTGGCAGGTCACATTAGAGAAGGTGAAATAAGGTATAGGATTATTTTCCCTTGCTGTATTTGCAATCAAGCAATAAAACAACCTAGAAGGGATTCTGCCCAAGGTTTTAATTAAAACTTCAAATCATTTCCTTCTCCAAGTACTGAATATTAGGGAGACCAAGGGTAGTGACTACCTTCAAATATGCATATTTGCAAGCATCTATTATCAGGAGTGTTTTCTGTAGTTCTCAGAAAATGCCATCAGAGTATAACGATCCCCTCAAATCTTTCTAAGCAAATTCCTTTGTGTTTCCAAACCTTAGACTACTGTTCCTGCATCTAGAAACAGCAATTGTTTAAACTTTGCAGGCGATGTCTGAGTTTGCTGACAGATATCTCTGCAATCCCTGGGAGCAAACAGCCTTCAAACCTCGGAACTGTAAAGCTGTGGTAGTAGTAACCTGATACTCTTCCAAAATAGCTGTCAATTCCTGTGTTTATTTTTCCCGGTGGCCACTGATCTTTCTGAAAGTGTCTAATCCTTCCGGTTAGCACTTCTCTGGATATTTTGCACTACCCTCTTACAGATGAATCTTCTTGCTGTATAGGTACCAAATTAATTCAATTGCATTTCTTTTTTTCATTCTAACTAGTATCTTCTTGTTTGTGCAAAAGGTAGGTATTCTTTCCTACTTCAACTGATTTCAAAGACAATGATGCATGGTGAATGTTCCTCTTATTGATAGGTGTGGGGTCAGTTTCCCTCCACTCCCTCTAAGAATCATGTAGTAGATATAAGTTTAATTTTTCAGACTTGTCTTAATATATATTTTTTTCTGTGTTTTCTTTATTTATTTTCTGAGATGGGGTCTTATGTTATTATGGATGTTCTTAGAACTCCTTCCCCAAGGGATCCTCCCCGTGAGCCTTCCAAATACATGCAACTACAGGCACTATTGTGCATTGGTCTTCGCTCAAGTTTTTCTCAAGTATATATTATATCTGTGTATATAAAAACACTACGTAGCACTTATGATGATTAAGATGATTTCTAATTAATCCTATGTCTATCTTCATGTATACACTCATGACTCTAACCTAGGGATACATAATTTTGAGGGTTCATGAGCTCTAAAGGCACATACAAAAACATGTACAATTGGAGCATATTTTTAGGAAAAATATTCTAGGCAAAGTTATTGGACATCATCAGTTGCCAGGGAAATCAAAAGCATGTGATACTGCTTTGTACTTGCGGGTCCACCCCAAGGTCTCGCCCTGGAGGGACCTGCCACGATGGGGGTCAGGGAAAGATGAGTGCGCTGTCTGCCCCTTTTGCCAAGGACAATGAGATGCAACAGGGAGTCTAGTCAAGCAGGAACTCATTTATTGCAGGTGTCAAGGAGCTTATATAGGCAAAAACCACAGTTTGGAAATCCCCTCGGAAACCCCTCCCCCGATGCACCCAATCAACTTAAAGGTCAACCCGCCACATGGGCAGGGTCCCATAGGCGTCCACGTTAATCACGCGCTGATCATGCACCGCCCAGGGGTGCAGAAGGACTGGCATCCAATCTGATGATTTTCAAGACAAGTCAGGCCGTGCCCTGCTTACTTCCTCTAGGCGCCATCTTGGCAAGGCATGGCCTTTAGGTCCCCACAGTACTCATTAGGATGGCTGCAGTAAAAATGACAGGCAGTAAATTGTATTGGCAAAGATGTAAAGAGATTAGGAACTTCACACACTTGTACCAGAAAATGTAAAGTGGTGCAACGATTTGGGAAAACAGTCTGGTAAATCCTCAAATGCTTAAGCATATGGTACAGTAGTATACCTCCTAGGTATATACCCACCCAAAATCAGAGAATACATCCACATAAAACATGTACACAATTGTATATGGCAGCATAAAGGTGGAAGCAATCTAAATGTCTATCAAAAGATGAATGGATAAAGGAAATGTGGTGTATCCATACAGTAGAACATTGTTTGCTCTAGAAAACTGAAATTTGGTATGTACTACAACATGAATGAACCTTGAAAACATCTGTAAAACAAACCAATTGGAAAAAAAGCACTTGTGTGATTTCTTTTACATGAAATTTCCAGAATAAGAAAAGTTGCACAGATTTAAAGGTGATTCCTACCTGCTTAAGGATGCTTGGTTTGAAGGATGGAGAGATTCCTAAAGCCACACTATATGGGTGCTACACTTTTGGTGGCCAAATACAAATTAAAATAAGCACATCATTTACAAGTGCACAGTTCAGTGTCATTTTGGATATCCAAAATATTGCACAACTACTACCACTATCTATGACAAGTATACTTTTATCATTCCAAAAGTAAATCCTGGACCCATTCGACAAGCTAGAGCTTCTTTTCAGACAATAAATATGTTATAGGATCAACCATGGTGACAATTACATATGTTTGTCAACATCCTAAAACAACTAAATATAGACCTTCAGTGGGGAAATTGTATGGTATGTGAATTTCATCACAATAAAGCCAATTTGAAGGATATTTTGAGGTAGGGTCTTTTACAGGTGAAACTGGTATTGAATTCCTTATCATCTCACTTCTACATTCCTAGTGTGAGTATGTCAGGCCTGAACCACTGCATTTGACTTTGCAATGAGGTAATTTTAGTGTTTATTTTATTGTTAAATTTAATTTTTAAATTTATTTTATTAGTTACCTTACACAGAGTATATCTTCAGAAAAATAATTGGTATAATACACATAATTCTTAAATATCCAATCCCTTTTATCTTTAAATTTTCTAGTCAGTATATTATATTAATCAATTTCCTGAAGATTTTCTTGAAACTAATACAACTGAGTTAGTTATAAATCATTTCAGAATGTTCATTTTCAAATTATTATCAATACATATACTTTTAAAAACGTCACTCTTCATTTTTCTCTGATGAAGAAACTAGTCCTCAAAAGGACAAGTGTTAACTACATTAGTACATACTTAGCTCCTAATTGAGTTTCTATTACCAAAAGCTCAGAGCCGGGTTTCCTAAGCAAGAATAGAAATTGTATGAACCTAAAATAATTACCTCCCTTTTCTTGTACATGACTGAGTGGATTTTTTAAAGTAAACCGTTTTATTGGAGTATAATTGACAGGCAATAAACCACACAAGGTGAACAAGCTATACAAACTGATTGATATATGTATATGCTTGTGAAACTGTTGCCATAAAGAAGATATCAACTCTTGCTTCCTGGTGCCCCTTTGGACTCCTTCTCACAACACTAATCTTGTCAGTATAAACCAGTCTAAATTTTGTAGTGTTTTATATTTTAAAAAATCAGGCATTAGGTACTCTCTTGTATTTATATTATTTTACATAGTAAGTCATTTAAAGAATTATTCATGTTGCTTTTTGCAGGAATGCTTTATTCTCTTGATACCGATAAGTACTGTTACATGGCTATATTGCAAAAAGATTTCATCATCCATTTAGCTGCTGATGAATCTTAGAGTTGTGTCTAATTTGGAACAAATACAAATGGTATGAACATTCTTGTATATGTTTCTTTTAATGCAGGTAAATTTCATTTCTCTTAACTAAATACCTAGATGTGGAGTAGGTAAATCATATAGCAAGTACATACCTTAGTTCATTTTTAGCTATTTTTAAATGGTATTTTAGTGTAACTTGTGGCAAATTTATTATTATTATTTATTTGTTGTTTCCATACATGAAATTCTTTTTTAAATTTTTTTTAATATAAGTATGGTATTCTCTTAAAAATATTTGTACATATTTGTGCGGCAAAGTTCACTCAGCAGTCTCATCTTCTCAATTTTTTTTTTTCATTTTTATATGCTTGGCCACTTTGGACTCTTCTAGAAAACAAAGTTTATTTTTTGATAACAAGCCTAATCTTTTTCAATCCTGTCTGAAACAGAAATTTGTAAAGATGGTACAGGTAGGTCTTATATATCTTGAATCTAATTTCTCCTATTATTTATTAAGAGATTAATTTCTACTATATTCATTACAATTCATGAATCAAAAATCACTGCATTGCTATTAACTAAGATCTATTTTAAAATTCAGATTTCCTTAGGTGTGCCAAGTGCTCTTTCTTTCTCTAGGATTAACTGTTTAAGAACTTGGCTAATTATACTTCAGTGAAGTTGCTGCTGCTCCCTGACAGAAAGTGAGAGGAGCGGGTAGAAGAAAAGGCAGGCAAATATGAAGCAAGCCCAGAGCAGCAGCAGCAGCAGCAGCAGCAGCAGCAGCAGCAGCAGCTGTATTCAGTGCTAAATGAGTCAGTTTTTCAGGACCTGCAAGATGTTATTGTTTATTTGATTTTTTTTATATTTTATTTCTCTACTTGCCCCAAACCTTTACCCTTAGTGGGATGAAAAGGAAGAATACATATAATTTGCTTGCAGTGGAGGAAAGTTGCAGAGTATTTGTTTTGAAAATTTTACAAAACCAGCTTGCTAAATAGAGACACCTTTAGAGAAATAAAAACTAAGAGGTGGGAATTCCTGGCCAAGGTAAACACATGGTCAGCCATTTTGTCGTATTAATTGTGTGATCTGTGATTTATTTGGGAGCTTGTGTGTTTTCCAGCATTCCTTCGGGCTATGGCTACTTTTGCTAACGTAGGAATATTAGACCCTGTCTTCTAGTCTCCAAAGCCAATGTCCTTGAAAGAAAGCATACAAGAGTTTCATACAGCATAGAAGATTAGACCACATAAGAGAGTTAAATAAAAAAAAAATTGCTAACAACACAATTACTAGAACCAAGAGATGATCTGCATTCTTCCACAGCCCACACATTTTCTCCAAAGGGAATAACTTTAAATGCAAAATGCTGAGGAATTTAATTAGAGGGTTTCTCTCAAAGGCATTTCTATAAACAAAACAGATTTCTGGATACATGCTTTCCTTCAGGGTTATCTTTTCTTTCTTCAGGTTACTATGATAAACTATTTTGGATTGTGTAATTTGTAAGCAACAGAAATTTATTTCTCACCCTCACAAAGGCTAGGAAATTTAAGATCAAGAAGCC